GACAATTAATACTACTTAATTAAACCCAAGAGAAGAGAACATGAAATAACATTAAGAAGAATTCTAAAATGTTTGGTCAATTAGGATTCATTACGTCTAGATACTCAAAGGAAAACTAAAACCTAAACATGTCGAAACTACAATTACAAAAGAAAGAAATTAAAGAGCTTGATTCCCTTCTCCAGCTGTCATTGACTCTTTCTTTCCCAAAAACATCGTCCCCTCAGTTTCTGTACCAAGTTTTCTTTTATATCAGTGGTCCCATGACTTATCTTTTCGTAGAAGTTTAATTCTGACGTAAATTAAAAGTACACGCCCCATATACACAGCCATGTACTTTAGCCGTGTACATCTCTGGTCTCTAAAAATTACTCTTCACAACTTTTCTGGGAAGTACACACTCATGTACATGGCCATGTACTTTGACTGTGTACATCTCTAGTTTGGATGATGTACTTCAATTGATGTGACCAGCTAGATACACACCCATATACACGGGCATGTACTTGCCTATGTATATATCTGGTTCTGATTTTGTGCTTGATTGATGCAACCAGTGAGTTACACTCTCAGATACACGGCCATGTACTTGCCCGTGTATATCTCTGGTTCTGATTTTTGCTTCAATTCCCATTATTCTTTAAAGCTTTCACTTCTTGATCATTTTCTTTCCTGAAATGTGAACAAAAGGGACTTAATAATAAATTCTCTCAATGAATAACTCAAAAATCTCAATTATCATTCACGAATTACATTATAAGACCAAGTGTGGAATAAATTTATCAGTTGAACTTACAAAAATAAAATAAAATCATATATATATATATATATATATATATATATAGCAAGATATTACTCACAGTAACAGCCCCATGCATTCCTAATCCATCTAATGCACAACATGAAACCGATTTTTAATTGGTTTCACAGCCTAAGTAATCTAGAAGGAACCGAGCCAGTCTGGGAGCGACCCATTCTAGTATCTGGATCCAAACAGCACAACACAGAACAACTTAGCATGCTTTACCATTACACGTCTACCCACATAAACGTTTAACTCAGCTCTATAATAATGTAAGATATATATCTCAGTATGATGCAACACGCCTAAAATTATTTCAACAGCTCAGCTAAGACAAGTTTATAATAAATCAGCCAAATCTCAGTGTTATTAAATCAGTTATCAACAGTTACAACATATAAAAATAACTTTCAAGTATTAAATCTTTTATATCTCAGATTTTATCAAAGAGATCTAATAAAACCAACTCAAACCTTTCTTTAATAGCACATCCAACTGTTTAAAACATAGTTCATAGGCTAAAGTAAGTTTCCTTTACCTTAGAACGGTGATTCACACCAAATCTACCGAATATTACTTGTTTTAATGCTAGATTCACCAAAGATTTGGCTTTAGAACAGAGTCTCTCCTAAGAACACCATGAATTTCTATGAGAAAGAGAAGAAGAAGAGAAACGAATAATGAATCTATCTTCAAACTTAGAAAAACTTACTTCAAATCCCTTAAAATAGATGCAAAACCATAGATTTGGAGAAAAATATAAGTTTAGGAGGGTTTAGTATGAGAAAAATGGTGGTATATGGCCTTGGAACCTTTGAGAAGTGTGAAGAAGTGAAAATTTCGTGTAAGGACCCCTATTTATAAAAAAAAAAATTTGGTACTGTTCATGTCAGAGTTACTGTTCATATTGTCTTATTGTTCATGCTGAAATTACTCTTCGCTAACACCGTTCACGCGTTTTGCACTGTTCACTGACACTGTTCACTTTTTTTTATATATAAAAAAAACTCCATCTAAATCTATTCCAACACCAAATAATCATTCAATTAACATTTAGTAAGTACAAAATATTACAGATTTTCTCAATAATATATTATAGGCTTGACAATTCTCCCTCTTAAAATAAATTTTTGTTCTCAAAAATTTCATCCCTTAGAGAAAAGATGTGGATACAACTCTCATTCTTTCCTCTAACTCTCATGTGGCATCACCAGTGACTGGGTCTTAAACAACCTTTTGCTAATCGAATAGACGTGCCTCTCCTTAACTCTAGTGTCCTCAATATGAGCAGTTGGGACCTCTACAGACAAATTATCTTGTATTTCCACAACAATAGGCTTGACTACATGAGACAGATCAGAAACATATTTCCTTAGCTGTGACACATGAAAAACATTATCAGTCCTAACAACTGAGGTGGTAAAGTTAATTCATAGGCTACTGGTCCTCTACGATGTAATATCTGATACGGTCCTATGAACTTAGGCATTAACTTCTTAGCCCTTAAGGCTCACCCTACCCTTATAGTGCATGACTCTCTCAAGAATACATAATCTCTAACTTCAAACTCCAAGGGCCTCCTGTGTCGGTTAGTATAACACTTCTGACGACTCTGAGTAGCTCTCAACTTTTTTCTGATAAGTTCAACTTTCTCTTTAGTTTTCTGTAGTATTTCAGGCCCAAACATCAAATGTACTCCATCTTGGAACTAACAGATAGGGGTTCTACACCTTCTGCCATACAGAACCTCAAATGATGCCATGTCCATACTCGAATGGTAGCTATTATTATAAGTGAATTCTATCAAAGGAAGCATATCCTCCCAATTACCCCTCTGCTTGACAATACAAGTCTGCAACAAGTCTTCTAAAGTCTTAATAGTACGCTCAGATAGACCATTTGTCTAGAATTTCCATCATCTACAACTCTCCCAGAGGACTTCAATGCTCCGCCTTTGCCTTTTGGCAAGTCAAACAAGCTTTAACAAACTCAGTTATCTCGTGCTTCATTCCTGGCCACCAAAACATTTGCTTTAAATCTTGATACATCTTGGTAACACCGGGATGAATGTTGAGACTACCCTTATGTCATTCTTCTAAAATTGCTCTCTTGAATTCAGCATCTCTAGGGACACAAATTCAACCTTGACATCTAAGAATACCATTAACACCTCTACTAAAACCCTCTATTTTATCTGTCCCTAAGAGAAATACAGTCTGACATAACATAAGATCCCATAGCTGGTTGTCTTTAATTTCCTGCAAGAAATCGTTAGTTACCACAATTTTGCCACAACTAATCTTTCCAGGTAATAAGTCCACATGTAAGTTCAGGTCTCAAAATTGTTCTACCAAAAGAAATTCACTAACTCTCAAGGAGAATGCCTGAACAATATTCCTGCTTAATGCATCAGCCACCATATTAGCTTTTCCTGGATGGTATTGGAGCTGAAAATCATAATCCTTAAGGAATTCCATCCTATGCCTCTGCCTCATATTTAACTCTCGTTGATCAAACAAATAATTCAGACTTTTGTGATCACTATACACATCAAACTGAGCTCCATAAAAATAGTGCCGCCACACCTTCAAAGCAATAACTACGACAACTAGCTCAAGGTCATAGGTTGGGTAATTTCACTTATGAGTTCGCAATTGGCGAGATACATAAGCTATCACTCTCTTATCTTGCATCGACACAAAATCCAATCCCTGATGGGAAGCATAACAGTACACCTCAAATGATCAACTAGTATCAGGGAGAATCAACACCGGCGAGGAAGTTAGTCGCTGCTTCAATTCATTAAAACTTTGCTCACATTCCATAGTCCATACAAAGGGTTGATCACGGCGAGTTAACCGTGTCAATGGTGCAGCTATCTTCGCAAATCCCTCTATAAATCTCTGGTAGTAACCTGCTAGGCCCACAAAACTACGAATCTCTATGGCTGTCTTTGGCCTTTTCCGTTGCAACACTGCTTCAACTTTGGAAGGATCAACTGCAATTCTCTTAACTGAAATAACATGGCCAAGGAATTTTACTTCCTTTAGCCAAAACTCACACTTAGACAATTTAGTATATAATTGTTTCTCCCTCAAAACACTAAGTATTGTCCTCAAATGTTCTGCATATTCCTTTGGCGAACTAGAATAAATTAAGATATCATCAATAAAGACTACCACAAACCAATCCAGGAAAGGTCTAAAGATCTTATTCATGTAGTCCACAAACACTATCAGAGCATTAATGACTCCAAAAGACATCACTATATACTCGTAATGACCATATCTAGTGCGAAATGTTGTCTTTGGGATATCTTCATCCTTTACTCAGATCTAACGGTATTCAGACTTCAAATCAATCTTAGAGAATACTGTAGCACCTCTTAATTGGTTCATCAAATCATTAATCCATGATAACAGGTACTTATTCTTGATTGTTAACTTATTCAGCTTATGATAATCAACACATAATCTAGAACTTTTGTCCTTCTTTTTCACCAAGAAAACTGGTGCTCCCCAAGGCGATACTCTTGGCCTAATCTACTGTTTCAGCATTAGATCCTCAATCTACTTCTTAAGATCCATTAACTCTTTCCTTGCCATTCTGTAAGGTGTTACAGACACTAGCTCAGCTCCAAGAATCAAGTCTATAGCAAACTCCACCTTTCTGCATGGAGGTATTCTAGGAATATCCTCTAGGAAGATCTCAGGGAATTCTTGTACTACTAGTATGGACTGAAGACTTTGCTCAATTTCTGCACTCATAACACCCAACAAAACAAAACAAGATACTCCCTCACCCAAGTACATTTCTACTTAGTGAGTAGAAATCAATTCAACACAGCCTTGCTGCTCAGGAAAGATTAAACACTTCTGGCCACAATCAATCAACACACGATTGGCAGTTAGCCAATCCATACCCAGTATTATAACTAACCCTGACATCGGGATACAAATAAGATTTACTTTGTACCTTCGTCCCTCAATTACTATGGGACACCTAACACAAACCGTATAAGTCTTGATCAAACTCAAAGCAGGTGTCGATACTACCAATTCACATCCTAGATCACTCACCGACAATCTTAAGTTTCTCACACAAATATCCACATAAAAGAGTGCATGGCTCCAAAATCAAACAACATAGAAAGAGAAGTACTTGCCACTACCGCTATTCCCTGAACGAGATCCGTCGCCTAGGCTAGCTCTAATGCAGAAGTCGTGAATACATATCCCTCTGCTCTCGATCTGGTTGTCATCAGAGCTCTGACCGCTCTAGGCCTCACAGCGTGTAAGGCGCTAGCAGAAGACGAAATTGTCCCACTAGGTGTAGGATAGTCCCTAGCAAGGTGCCTTGACTGCTGGCACGAGAAGCAAACTCTGACATCAGTCTGTAGGCACTGGTTTGGGTAGTGTGGCCCACCACACCTGAAACATCTGACAGTCTTGGGCATTGAGGCTCTAGGAGCTGAAGAACCCGCTCCTCTAGGCTGAAATGCAGAAGTAGCAGTCCCTACTAGCACTGGGGCTTATTCTGCCGATCCCCTCGATTGAGATGGTTGAAACTGTTGCTGGCGTGGCGGCCGATTGTAAGGGCTCTTCTTGGCACCCTTACCTCCATTACCATAGCTGCTAGCGGCTCTACTAGATGGAGCCTTCCCAACTCCACCAGCATCCTCTACATTAAGACTCTTTATAATGGTGGCCTAATCCACCAAGTCAGCAAACTCTGTGATCCTTATCGAGATCAAAATCCTCTTTATGTCAGTTTTCAGCCGTCTAAAAATCTATGACATCTCCACTCCTCTAAGGTTGGGTGAGAATAAAATATGTAGAGCCACTCAAACTGTATTGCATACTCATAGACTGATAAGCTCCCTTGCACCAAGCTTAGAAACTCCAGCTCCTTGGCAGCACGAACATAAGAAAGGAGGAACTTCCTCAGAAAGCTACTCCTAAATGCAGCCTAAGTGATGACTTCACCTCAGGCCTCCAGCATAGCACGAGCTCTGTACCACCACATATTTGCGTCACCTATCAGCATATACACAACATATAACACCTTCCTCTCCTCGGCGCAACCTATGGTCAGGAAGATCTTCTCAATCTCCTTAATCTAGAGTTTAGCAGCATCTGGTCCATCCACCATTATGAATTGAGGAGGATCGTTCTTCCTGAAATTTGACAACCTTTGGTATTCAGAAAAAAGGTGCAGCTGAGGTAGTAGTTGCTACTGCCTATGCTGTAGCAGCAGCTTGGTTTGCAGCCTGCTGTTACTGAATCATATTTAGACTTTGCCTCACAGTGGCTGTCATGGCCTCCATGGCGTGAGCCATCTGGTTCACATCCGTAGGAGGAAGCTTTGCAGTAGATCTTCTATGTCTAGCCATCTTAATATACAGAATAAAACCAGCTTAGATTACTAACATTCAACACATTTAGCAATACCGTCACATAGCTATATTCATAGATTCAACTTATAGTGATATATTTATACTAGGTATATCATAACAATTTAATCAATTTAGCGTGTAGCATAACATCATATTAGCATTCTCAGCATTAACATAGCATAGCATACACACTTATCTCAGCAATAATTTACAACTTAGCTTAATAGCCTATTATTCACGCAGCATGACTCACCTATAGCTCACCTAAGTATCATATACCAAAATTTTTTACATCTGTCGTGTATGAGAATCGAGGTGATCAAGTTCATTTCCTCACAACCTGATGATTAGAAATTATGATATATGATTCATAGTAAAAAACTCACATGCCTAATATGCACAACTGACGCCTAACAACCTCACCCCGTAGGTTTACCTAGACCATGCTCTAATACCACTAAAAATGTCACAACTCCTTTTTGTAAGGAACTAAGAACATTATTTCTACACCACTTACTTATTTGAGATAAATAAATAACGAAGAATTTAAGTACAAAATTCACTTTTCATTCAAAATAAATAGAATTCCTTGTGACAAATATCCAACAGAACAACATAATATTACATTTAGTTCATAATACTCAAAATAAATAAAAAAGTTTTACTACATCACTTCTTCTATATGAGGTCTCAAAATATAAGGGAAAATGACTTTAATGCAAAATTACTCGACTCCAGCTTCTTACATTTCTCCATTAGCCCCTTAGCCTGTGAAGTAGATGCAACACCTGTTGCATCTGCTCACATACCACTGTACGATCATCGCAGTACACACGCATACAACAACACAGACAGAAATGCAAGGGTGAGCTTGCAAAAATAAAATAAAATCATATATATAGAGCAAGATTTATTACTCATAGCAACAACCTCATGCATTCTCAAGCCATCTAATACACAACATGAAAATGTTTCTAACTAGTTTCATAGCCTAACTAATCAAAAAGGAATCGAGACATTCCGAGAGCGACCTATTCCAGTATCTGGATCCAGACAGCGCAGCACAACTCAGCTTAACATGTTCTATCGTTACACATCTACCTACCTAAACGTGTAACTCGGCTCTATAATGATGCAAGACATATATTTCAGCATGATGCAATACGACTAAAATCATTTCAACAGCTAAGTGAAGACAAGTTTATAATAAATCAGTCAAATCTCAGTGTTATTAAATCAATTATCAGCAGTTATAACATAAAAAAATAACTTTCAAGTATTAAATCATTTATATCTCAGATTTTATCAAAGAGATCTAACAAAACTAACTTAAACCTTTCTTTAATAGCATATCCAACTGTTCAAAACATAGTTCATAGGTTAAAGTAAGCTCCCCTTACCTTAGAATAGTGATTCACACTAGATCTACCGAATATTACTTATTTTAACGCAAGATTCACTGAAGATTTGTCTTTAGAACAAAGTCTTTCCTAAGAATACCATGAATTTCTATAAGAAAGAGAAGAAGAAGAGATACAACGGTTAATCTAACTTCAAACTTAGAGAAACTTACTTCAAATCCCTTAAAACAGAAGTAGAATCACAGATTTGGAGAGAAATCTAAGTTTATGAGGGTTTAGTATGATAAAAATGGTGGTATATGGCCTTAGAACCTTTAAGAACATTTGAGAAGTGTTAAAAAGTGAAAATTTCGTGCAAGGACCCTATTTATAGAAAAAAAAAATTTGGTATTCTTCATGCCAGAGTTATTGTTCACACATGCTTTACTGTTCACGCCGGAATTACTGTTTGCTGACACTGTTCATACAGTTTACACTGTTCACGTGCATTGTTTACTTTTTTTTTTTAACACCATCTAAATCTATTCCAATACCAAATAATCATTCAATTAACATTTAGTGAATACAAAATATTACAGATTTTCTCAATAATATTTTACAGGCCTAAAAGTGGCTGGAGGAAGAAAGAAGATATCGTGGAAGAAAGGGTGAAGCAGAAGATGAGGAAGAGACCTTCTTGCCAAATATGTTTCAAAGATAAAAATGAATTATTTTTTGAAGGATTAAAAAAATGACATCATTTTGTGTTCAAGATGAATTGTCACATATTACTTAACATGACATATCATCATTTAGTTACTTACTTTTAACAATAAAAACTAACGAGATTAACGATTGCTAAATATTGAGACTAAAATTTCAAAAATAAAATTAAAATTTTGGGGTTTGATTTGAACGACACTACATATTTTAAGGACCAAAATGAATGTTTACTCAGAAATTTTCTCATCCTTGAATTGAACATTATACTTGACTTTCATGTAATCATAAACTTTTCCATTCTTTTTTTAGAGTCTTTCAAAATTTCTTTACTAATTCTTTAATAAACCATCCTTGATCAGTTTTACTATGTTTAAAAGTTCTTCCACAGGTATGATCTAAGTTGAATATCTTGATCTAATAACTATGTTTGACATTGTTTGTGACACAATATATCTCTCAATCACATAACTCTTTCATTTAGCTCGAACCTTTATCTTGTCATTCTTAATTCCTAACTATATTGTGTAACTCACTAACCTCCAATATTGTAAACTTCATCCCCAATTCCTATGTAACATGCTCAAATGTGGTCTCCTTAGTGAATTGAAGAAACACTTCTATTTATGTTGCTTCATCATCAGTTGTGACAATGATTTTTTTTTTTGAATTGTTTAAACATCTAAGAATTATATCATGTAACACCTATTTTATAACAAAACCCCGTATACTCATATTATAACTTAAGACTCTACATCGTGGCACACCTAAATTATATGCGTAAGAGAACTCAATCAAACAGTATTATAGAGGGATCCTACTAGCTATATACCATCATCCATTACTCTAGGGGCATAATTTCGTCTCTCAATCCTTAAGATTCGTTCAAAAGTACTTCCATGAAATATCGCATTACAATTCTCTGTTGTACGATTCCACACCAACTGCATCAATTTACAGTATTCACATTCCAACTCAAATATTTAATTCATCACAATAACTCAAACTAATTAAAAGATAACCATTATAACAGTGTACTTGCATCGAGTTCACTCATCATAAAATTATATATATATATATATATATATATATATATATTACCCAGTCTCACATTTCAACAACGTACAAGTCATTTATGTTAGTTACTCTAATTGTTCGCAAAATAACTCTATAACAACGATACCGTTAGAGATGAAATTTTGGAAATATAGCAAAGAGTATATTGAAAAAGAAAAGTGCATAAATATATGTACCATCCAGCCAAGGTGTCCGAGGTAAAAAAAAAATCAAAGCCAAATAACCCCAAAGTTTAGTAATCCGAAATAGTAAAGACAACCCAAGTCCTATGAGTAGTATTTATCCATGACGAAAATAAAACAACTACAAATAAAACTCTAACGGAAGGGAATCCTCGCTAGGGTCAGACTCTACTCCGTCGGAGTCATGAGAATCATCCACTGGCTGAGGACGAGGAGAGGGCGGCAGGTCATCCGGGTCGCTGTCAATCCAGTCAACAGTAGGTGGAGGCGATTGAGAAGCAGGTGGTGGTGGTGAAGGGCGTCAGATGGAGGGTCCAGCTTCGTCGGGAGGAGGTGCTTGGATCCGTGGGAAGTGGCGAGACACTGGCCTAATGGAAGACTCAATAACCTCAATATCTTTCAACTCAGGGGCAGGAGAAGGGCTGGGAGGAGGGGTAGGCTCTAGGTCCAGATCGATAATGGTTTTACCTTTTTCGACAAAAGTTTTCAATCGCTTGGCATGGGGTTCTTGAGATGAAGGAGAAGAAGGGGGTGTGTGAATGATAATGTTCCGTTCAGATGGTAAAGGTACGGAGATATCAGCAAAAAGATGGTCACTCCAACTAGGCTTCCAACCGCCTTCAGCGAGAGGCCCCGTGGTCATGGAGATCATTCCTTGATACATGAGACGACGCGTTGTCAGGTCGTATCTCCAGACTGCTTTCTCCCCAGAATCCTCTCCCCAAATCATTGCTTGCTGAGGGTCCATTTGTCACACAGTCATGCAATACATACAACAGACAAAATAACAAAACAGGAACAGAAAGGGTGAGCTTCAATACAATCATCTATCAGCAGTTGAACAAGTAGGGAAATTAAATAACATAAAAGTTTTCACGAAATCATACTCCAGTAAACACATAGTCACAATTTAATGTCCATTAAAAAACCACAAGATGCAAATAAAGTCACAGAAATTCATCACCATGCGATTTAAACGATGTCACTTAGAATGTCACTACTTCCTCAATTTGTTTCCACCATTCCTCCAGTCAAGGTGATCGGAGACTCTCATTCCCTACAAGCACACATTGTACGTAATCTCTCAAGGACATTATCCCATTTTACCATTTCGATTCCTCAAGAATGAGTCCTTCCAGATCCTGGTAATGCTTACTCACGTCAGGATTAGTGGAGGCTTCGATGGCAACGTGTCCCGGCCGCGGTGAGCTATTCCGCACCATTGGCGCAACCCCCCTCCACTACCCCCAAGGTTCTTCCCTTGAACCTGAACACTCACATCCCTCAGTTGTGCTAAACTGTGACCTTGACTCTCCATCCTCCATATCATGCACATAAAAAGTTTCGTAACCGCATCCTTACTTCACCATTTTTTAGCACACATTTAACTCCCAAAGGTCACAAACCACATAACCAAATCCGCTTATAAGAGCTAGCACATTCAAAGAAAGGAAGGATCATTCATTCAAGGTCCAAGAATAAAAGAAAAGGGAGGGAAGATGGAGATAGTTATAAGAATTTCGTTCAAATACTAAAGTCAAAATGTTCCTTCACAAGAAAAATCACCAAAGAGTCATGAAAATAATCGTAGGCTTATTCATACATGCAAACTTATTTCTACCACAAATTTTTGTAAAACTATAGTTTAGGTGATGAGAAAATTCGTTTAGGTTAAGAA